GGAAATGAGACTCAGAAGGAGTTTACCACCAAGAATATACTGAAGGATAAAAATCCATGTAAAACTAGGAGCTTTAGAAAATTGAAATAACTGACAAACTGCAGGGAAAAAACCCTGTAATTGCAGGAAACCTACGTCATTTCCAGAAGAGTAGGAGATGGAATGCAAAGGAGTTTCTGGGGGTGTTTTGTTTTAACTGAGGAAATTTTTTTTTTTTTTTTTTTTTTTAGTTTTGCTCTATAGTGCATGAGCTCACCAGAGAGACACTGAAAAATAGAGAGAAGGCATCCTTTGGGGGGATGGCCATGCTACAATCTTTTCTCCATTTTACACTCAGACTGTTGGGCACATTGGGCCCAGCAGTTGATCACAGTTCAAGTCCTGGACCTGGTGGCTTAAAACTCATGCTGGGAACATGTGCATGCATGCCCAAAATCCTGAGAGGAAAGTGGAGAAGAGGGTGTGGCCATCCCCTGTGGGGCATGATTTTTCGCTTTCTGTTTCTCTGTCTCTCCAGTGAGTGTACATGCCTACAGAATTTTGGGCAGATGCTCACAGATGCTCAATGTGTTTCTCAAGCCACTGGGTAAAGACCTTGAACTGAGCAGTTGGTCATGTGCGATCTAGCTGCTTTAATCCCCATTCCAGTGTCTGGCCCAACCAAGGAAATTCTTACTGTCAAGTAACATAAACCAGGCAGGGATAAGCAGGTTCCTCCTAAGTGCAAAAATAAAAATTCCCATTGTAACTAGTTTTTATTTAGTTCTTCCTTTCTTCCTTTCTTTTTGAGGGATTTTGGTTATAGGGCACATGCACTCGCAGAGAGACAGAGATACAGAAAATGAGAAATTACCGTCTCCCCTTGGGTGCATACTGCAATCCTTTCTCCTCCCTTCTCCTCTCAGGATTCTGGGCGTGCACACACACACGTCTGGTGGGAGTTTTAAGTTGCTGAGTTCAGGACTCAAAACGTAGTCAACTACGTGGGCGTCCAGCGATGTAACCATTATACCATCTGCTGGTCCCTATTTAGCATTTTCTTCTATGACCCATCGGACAAACACTTTATGAAGCCTGCCAGTGTGCCGATGACCTTGAACTTTGGTAGGTGGTGATAATGGTATCTCAAGATTATAGAACACAAAATTTTCATTGTGGGAAAATATAAAACAATGTTTAAAGAAAAATAATTTAAATCATGCACGCAAATCCACTAACACATGAGGTGTCGGAATATCTAGGAAGAGAACAGGACTCATTAGAGAGCTCCCTAAAGATGTTGGACTATTTACCTGCTAGTCCAAAAGACCAACAAAATGCAACTATCACTATGAAATACACTGAGGTGGGGTCAGCAGGTGGCATGGTGGTTGGGGTGCTGAACTCTCACATAGTCAAACATGGTTCAAGTCCTGGAACTTGCAGCTTGCTTTCTCACTTTCTCTCTCCCTCTCTGGTGAATTAAATAAATAAATAATGAAGTAAATAAAATAAACAATTCTTGGGGGACAAAAAGAAAAGAAATACACTGAGGAAAATGTTGAGAAAGAATCACCCCAACTTCCCATGATCTTTTGCAGTTCTGGTTGCTACATCTCAAGAAAACAGAATATGACTAAAAATTCAAGGAAATATGACCCAAAGAGGATTTTTCTTGTAAATGGGAAGGGTGGGAAGAGACAAAGTTAGGAGGGAACTGCGAGGAAATGGCAACATAAATAAGTATATATTTATAAAGCTCTAATGAGAATAGCAGGAAAGACATATAGAAATGCACAAAATTACATATACACTCCTTTTCTTTTTAAAGGTTTTTGCCAAAGGGTGGTGTGGACTCACTAGAGAGAGACAGAAAGAGACAGTGAGAGGGAAAGTGAGAAATCATGCCCTGGGGCAGGGGGGATAGCCATGTCTCACTTCCCTCTATTCTCTTCTCAGGGTCCTAGGCATGCACACGCGCCCAGCGCGACCTCTTAGCCTCAGCCTCCAGGCCTGGCACTCGAACCATGGTTGGCAATCTAGGAATCCAGTGTCTTATCCACTCTGCCACAGATACACTTCTTAAAAACACAGAAATGAGGAAAAGTGATCAGACTGGCCAGAAATTGAGAGTGAGTGGTTGAGATATGGCTAGATGTGATAATTACTCTGAGATAAAGAGAAACCAGTAAATGATGACTAAGAAACTAAAGAGAATAAAAATTCAAGAACAAATGGCCAGCAGGTGGTGTGGTGATTAAAGTGTAAGCCCCATATGGCTGACTGTGTTTTGACTCCCAGATCCGAAGGCTTTAAAATCATGCTGGGTGTGGGTGCATGCATGCCCAAAATACCAGGAGAAGAATGGAGGAGAAGGGATAGCGGCATGGCCAACGCCCTAGGGGATGATTTCTCATTTTCTTTCTGTCTTTTTCTAGAGAGTGCATGTACCCTATAACAAAAGCCTTTAAAAAAAATTCAAAAACAAGAAAGAAATGTGTTTAAATATACAAGGAGCGATGTGAACAACAAAAGAGAAAAGGAAAGGGTACGGATTTAAATGGACCCTAAGGACACTCGGTTAAATGAAGAAAGAGATAAGAACTCTCATTTACTTGAAGATGCACGTTGCTTCCATTTTTTAACATTTCTGAAATTAGAGAACATATGTGTATGTCTATTACTGTGTTATTTTTTTCTTGCACCACAACTTATGAATCGATGGTACTTTTTGCAATTGACAGTGCCTTAGAACATTGGAATTGCAGTATTTAACTGCTAATGAATTTACAACACTCTGTTAAATTAGATAGAAACCAACAGTTTATATAATATGCTTTGAGTTTGATGCTGTCATGGTTCTAATATCTTCAGTAGCAATTGCTAACTACCCTATCCAAATGCCACCTTCTAGACCTATGGCTGTAAAGCAAATGGTATACAACTGTTTAGAGTCTGTTCATAGTATCGGACTACCGGAATTTTCTAACATCATCCAAAGTCAGCAGTTTCAAAGTGGGTGAATAATTCAGAAAGGAAATGCTTATATTTTAGGGAGGTGATAGAGAATTAAATGAATATCTTACTTTTTTTTTTTTTTTTGCAAGAGAGATTTTAGGTACACTCGTACACGTGTCCAGCCTGAGTTTTAAGCCTCCGGGTTTGGGACTTGAACTGTGGTTGCCCATGTAGCAGTCCAGCACCTTAACCACTATGAACCTGCTGTTCCCTTTGGTGGTTTTCTTTATAACTGTATCCTGATTGTGAATCTTTTGAAGGGAAAATGACTAGAGTAAGTGAAGGTCACAGAAACATGAGGGATAGTACCCTCATCTTTCAGAGTATGGATTGACTCAAAACCCAGAGAGTTACTAAGTCATAAGCAAGTTAGCATCACCTCTGACTACTTTTCATTCATTCTCCAGGATTATTCCAAAGAAACACGATGGAACAAAGAGACTCACCAAGCATAGTAGGGTAAATATCCACAAGAGAAACCACGTTTGATACTTGGAGGTTGGCCTCGATCCCCGGTCCCATGATCAGCAGTGGAACGTGGGCACTAGCTTCATACATACTCATTTTATAGAACTGCCGATGCTCCATGGCCAGCTCCCCGTGGTCGGAAGTATATATGACAACAGTTTCTTGAAGGAGATCTAATTGATGAAGAGCCGAGATAATTTCACCTACGATAGAAATCAAGATTAACCTATTCATTAGCTTTTTCATTCATCTTTTATTCTATCACATTAAGTCTATGACAACTCTATCAGAGCTTGTCAGGATGCTTCTTAGCATCTAAGTATTATCTACTCTTCTGATATAAGGTATACCAAGTTTCATGGGCTTGCTCCTTGGGGGCTGTCTAGAGAGGAAGAAAATGTGGTGTCCACAGGAACTCTCGCTCAAAGCTTCTTCATCTGGAGATGGCGCTGGTTTGCTTTTTGTTTCTATCAGAGCAGTAGGGGGATATCTTCCTTAGTGCCTCCAATGAGAAAAGAATCACAAGTCTGGATGTCAGTGCTATTTATATCTCAGATGATAAGATTGGTAATTGCCCGGGACCAGCAGTCGGTGTAATGGTTATGTCACTGGACTCCTATATAGTTGACCATGGTTTCAGTCCTGGACCGGGTGGCTTAAACTCACGCCAGGCGCGTGTGTGTGCGTCCCCAAGATCCTGAGAGGAGAATGGGGGAGAGGGATTTCGGCGTGGCCATCTCCCCTGGGGGGGTGATTTCTCGCTTTCTGTCTCTGTCTCTCTCTCTCTGTCTTTCTGGCGAGCGCACGTGCCGATTGAATGCCCCCTTTGGCTAAAAAAACTCCAAAAAAAAAAAAAAAAAAAAAAAGATTGGTAATTGCCTCCAACCTACAACACCTGTGCAACAGGTGCTAGAAGTGGTGAGAACTTCTTTTCCCTGTTACTTTTCTCCTCTAATTCTAACCAATTACTAGACCATGCTCATAAAGTAGGAGAAGGGTGATGGAAACCCTGCTCTGAAGAAGGGCTGGGGCAAAACAGGTAGTAGAGGAGTGTGGTTTAGCACAGTCTTAAATAAGGAACGACTGGGCGGTAAAACCTCTCTGACAGTCTCTCTTAGTGGCCTGGAGCTTCCTCCTCATTATAAAGAAGAGTATGATAATAAAGCATAGTCCTGAGAGGGAAGACATCCCTATTTTGTTCCATCCTGAATCTGAGGTACAGGTGTCTGTGTATTTAAAAAAAAAACCAAAAAACAATAAACAACAACAACAAATATAGATTCTGAGGTCTAGTCAGAATTGAAATCTCAGTGCTCTATGGAGTATCCTTGTGCTTTTTCAACTAGACAGTTGAAATTCCTGCTTTTTGCTTCTTTTTCTTGAGAGAGAGATTTTTGCTATAGGGTGCATGTACTCACCAGAGAGACAGAAAGCAAGACATCAACCCCCCCAGGGGGGCTGGCCATACTGCAATTCCTTCCCCTCCATTTTCCTCTCAGGACCTTGGGTAAACATGCACACGCACCTAGTGTGAGTTTTAAGTCACTGGGTCTGGGTCTCGAACTGCAGTCGACCATGTGGGAATCCAGCAAATGTAACCATTACACCATCTGCTAGCCTTGTACTTCAGACTTTTAACAGCTTCCCACTGTCGAATTATTCAGCACAACACACGAGGCCCCTGTCTACTCTCCAACCTCAGTCTCCCCAGCAATGCCAGACTGCTTGGGATCCTCGAAACATGCCACGTTAGTTTATGCTTTCCTGCCGACTTACTCTGTCATCTGTGCAAATGATTTCTCCCACCATCCACTTGGCAAATTCCCACTCTCCCTGTAAATCCCAGCTCAAGCATTATCTCTCTGAGGAAGCATCCTCCTGTTCCTCCAGGTAGGAGCCACTCTATTCTTCAAGACCTGTATGCTGTGAATGTGACTGTAGTTACAACAGCGGATTGTAACTCCTGGTGCACACGCCCATTCGCTAAATGTCTACTGAGTGCTCAGTGTGTGCCAGGGACTGCAGACGCAATGCTGGGTATCTAGGACATCTGCTGAGGCAGGCTGGATGCCCCTGTCCTCAGGAGGCGTGCATTCTTCAAGGGAGACATGTGAGACATGTGGTAAAATGAACAGAAGAAATAACCCACATGATGATGTAAAGAACACGGTAAGGTGTGGGTACGTAGAATCCTGGGGCTGGTATACCAATTTAGAGTGGTTGGGGGAGAGATCCCAGAGGAAACAGGATCTGAGCTGAGTACTAAAGACTGAGAAAAAGCCAGTTTGTAACAAGAAAAAGGAAAATACATTTTCCTCTAGGCAGAGGCAATAGAAAATGGGGAAGCTGTGGGGGTGGGATGGGGGGTGGAAGGGACGAGCTTAGAGTGTCCTTGATTAATGCATTGTTCTCCATTGCAGTGCCCCAGTGCCCAGCAGAGTTCCTGCTACCTAGGCGGCCCTAAACATTTGTTGAATAAACCATAATTAGCAGTAGTAAATACTATCTAGTGACCAGGCCAGTGCAGATTTAAAAACAGATGCAATATATTAAATACATTTTGGAATCGGAAGTAGACAAGCTGCTACAAGAATAGTATTTGCATACTCACTGCAGCAACATTGTATAGTATTTGTCTTCAGTAGGTACAGGTGAATAGATGGCTGTCACCTTTCAAAGGTGATTTCTAGGGTGCAAATAGGCAAATAACCCCTAACACCAGAAATCATCATTGAAATACAGTTCAATAGACGTATAGACGTAGGATTTTAAAAATTTATTTAAAATCTTATTTGCATGAAGACTGAGCACTTGTAAAGTCCTATGACTCTTCCAGTACATTTTTATACTCGCTGTATTATAGCTAACTTATTACTATGGCTTTTATTTGATTTCTGCAGTATACTGGGTTTTTTTAACTTAATAAATGCTTTTTAACAAATAACCAGTCACTTTTTCCCTCCCAAGGTTTACTTTGACCAGTCAAAAGGTAGCTACAACACTTCTCTAATACTCCAGGAAATGAACAATATGGCTTATGAAAATACTTTTGTTACAAAAATGACTATTTCCTTAAAGCAGGGTTTCTCCACATATGGACCGGAAACTGCCATTACCCAGGCAGTAATATTCAGGCAAACCACTTGCTTGACAAGTACCTGATAGAGACAGGTTTGGTGTCGAGCTTGTCTTGAGCCTGACTGAGGAAAGAAAGTTCAGTGTGATTTCGGATCAGAGCATACACGGGAAATCTGAATTCAACTTTAGCTAAGCCTTGCTCTTAAGGGTCAAGGCAGAATCGATTTGTGCTGTCATGACAAGTCTGGAAGAGGTCACGAGATGCCACAAGTAAACTTTCTTATCTCTTAGAACCTCCGTGCCTTACAACTACCTGTAACAAGCATACCCATGTTCAGCTGAATACTGATTCCTGTTTAAGGCAATGAAAAGTTTTGTGTCCAGCAGACGACAGCATTTTATGACCCTTTATTTATATATGAGCAAATCTGAGCATTTGATGATTTGAGAATTGATGAAGAATTAGAATGGAGCTTTCTATTTTACCATTAATAATGTAACTTATCCAACTTTTCTGTGTCAAGGTTCCTCTAGTTCTAATCCTGAGTTATCTAAGCAACTACTGTAAGACATGTCTGAAGATGTTCACATCAGCCATTCAGCATGGTCACAGTTTGTGGGACAATGTTATACTTTTTGTGGGACAGTAATATACTTTGTCTTCACACAATTGCTTATTAGTTATGCCACCTACCAAGCATAGCATCTGTCTCAGCACACATGGCATAATAAAATGCTCGAATATCCTGAACTTCTTTTTCTGTAAACTTCCCAGTACAGTTTTTTGTATAAGAAGAGTAATAATCTATGGGATGCATTTCTGACAGAGGCGACCAGTTCGGGATTGTGATGGCATCATAAGATACCTAAAAAGAGGAGAAAAGACTTAGTTATGTGAGCTAGCAGGTGGCAGGGTGGTTTAGGTTTGGGTTCCCACATGTGTGTGCATTCCCAAAACCCCAAGAGGAGAATGGGGGAGCAAGGACTGTGGCATAGCCATCCCCCCGGGAGGTGACCTCTCACTTTCCCTTTCTCCATCTCTGTCTCACTCCAGCAAGCACACGCACCCTATGGCGAAAACTAAACTAAAATTTAAAAGCTTAGTTCTGCTAACAAAGTAGTAATAGTCTTCTCTTCCAGCATGAATGGATGATGAACTAGACAATATTTAATTACTTCAAACAGCAGAAAAGAATGATCATGAAATATACAAAAATACAGCAAAGCTGGGTGAGACAGTGCACACCTATAATCCCAGCTCCTTGGGAGGGTCTCTGGTTTAAGGTCAGCAAGATCCTGCCTCTGAAGAAAAAGGAGAGGTTAAAATGGTGAACGGTGCAGGGTGGAAGCAGGAAGGTGCCACTGCATTATGGCTGGGGCTCTACGGGAGGCCCAGGTTGGTTCCCAGTGCAACCTTATCAGGCCAGGTGTGGAGGCATAGGCCTGTGGTCCGAGCTGACAGGAAGGCCAGGGCAGGAAGGATCGTGACATGGCAGGACCTAACCAAAACACCTTTCTTTGTCTCTCTCTCTCTCACTCTCTCATACACACAAAAATAAAAATTAAAACAAAAAATTACCAGTAACAGTAAAAGGTATTTATCCATATACTGTGAGACGGTTGAGAAAAATAATTTTAAAAATTATACATGTCAATGAAAAGCATGAGCTACATTAGGCAGAACCCTAGCCCAGAAGTGTCCAAGCACTTGGTGTGAGACCAATTCAAAACCTCAGAGTCAGCACCCTAAGAATATGGATTCCTTTTTTCCAATAACTCAACAGAAAAAATGCCAATATCAAATGAGACAGTCAAATGTTTGTTACATAACTTTTTCATACATATGAAGAGTCTTCAAAAAGTACGTGGAAAATGTGAATTATGAAAAAATGGATGAATTCCATAAATTTTTGGTACCAAAATAAACTTGTAATTTCATTCTGTTTTACCACAAACTTTATTATTATTATTATTATTTTTAAAAGAGATTCTTGCTTTAGGGTGCATGTGTTCACCAGAGAGAGAGAATCAGACTGAGAGGGAAAGTGAGAAATCACCCCCTCCCCCAAGTGTGGACGGCCATGCCACAATCCCTTCTCCTCCATTCTCCTCCTGGAATCTTGGGCACACATGCACACATGCCAGAGTGATTTTTAAGCCACTGGGTCTAGGACTTGAACCGTGGTCAGTCATGTGGGAGTCCAGCGATATCACCACTATACCATCTGCTGGCCCCTCCACAAACTTTTTGAAGTCCCCTTGTATAAATGCTTACCCTGCGGACAAAAAGAATTAAATCTATGTCTTTAATTTGCATGTGTGGTTTTTCTTTTAGCTTTCTACAGGGTGTGAGTGCTTGTGGAGTGTGGGGTGGGGAGAAAAATCACTCGCAGAGTGGATGGTCACACGCAATCCCTTCTCTTCTATTCTCCTCTTGGTATTTTGGGTGCACATGCACACGCACTCATGTTTTTCAAGCCACCAGGTCTGAACCGGAAAGAGAAAGAGTGCAGTTGGCCATGTGGGATACAGTCGCCTTAACTGCCACCCACCTGCTGGCCCTGTCTGTGTCTTTTAGTCATGTAAGTTTTAAAAAGTTCACATATCTACTTAGTAGAATATTAAGTTGGAAATTACTTAACTAAGTTCATTTGGCTGGTATTAACTCTACACAAATTTTTGAAGGTGGGGCCACTTTCAAGTTTTTAAGGAGATAATGGAATATCTAAAATGCTGATGTTATTTCCTTTGAAATAGAAAGCACTAAATAGTGTTTCTGATTAGAATTTTATTTTTTTAAATTTTTTAAAGAAGTATTTTATTTAACTTTTATTTATTATTATCCTTATCAGTTTGATCAGAGAGAGACAGAGAGAGAGAAGTGAGAAAGCAAGCCACCAGGACCAAGACTTGAACCGTGGTCGGCCATGTGGGAGTCCAGTGCCTTTAACCACCATGCCACTTGCTGGCCCCACTGATTAGAATTTTTAAAGGACTTTAAACTTGATTTAAGATTATATGTTTCAAAATACAGGCAGTCCTTGCTTCACATGGTTCCAGGATGTACACATTTCAGCAATCATGGATTAGCTAAATAACCCAGTCTCCCAGCAACAGGGTTAACACTTCAGTCACCAGGGTATATGAACTGTGAATAATTGCATATATCGATAGCATGAACTTTTCCACTAGCATGTTGCTAGCTCTTTAGTTAATATATCATTATGTAAAAGGATATATGATAATTTAAAAAAAATTGCCAGAGGGCATGTGTGCTCACCAGAGACAGAGACAAAGAAAAAATAGCACTCCCCATGGGGCACGGTCGTACCACAATCCTTTCTACTCCATTTCTCCCCCTTATAGGATCTTGAGCACATGTGGACACATGCCTGACATGTTTCTCAAGCTGCTGGGCTCAGGACATGAACTGTGTTGTGGATCGTGTGGCCATGGGCTGGCCTACTTCTGGCTTTATTTATTTATTTTTTAAAGTGATCAAACGTAAATGAATTTAAAGATGAAACAGCTGAAAAATGTTGACCCTGCCACCATTCCAGAGATCCAGATACGTAGGCTCTTAGTGAAGGCACACTTATTAGCCTAACTGAAGAAGGTCATCGCAGAGAAAAGGATAAAGAGATCTCAGAGGAAGTGACATTAGTAAAAATGTTCACATTAAAGGAACTCTTGGAGATAAACCATGACATTGATAAGTACAAAAAGTAAAATGCTGAAAAATGATCAAATTGAGAAAGGAATATAGCAATTTTCTAAGTATTGCAAGTTACATGACCAGAAGACAAGCAGTGTTCAAACTAAACTACTCTTGGTAAGATTTTTAGAAAACAATTTTAATTCTCATGTTGTTAGTGTTTTCATTACAGTGCATTAAATATTAATGTTAGTATATTTTCTAGTTCTATTCATAATAAAAAACAAGAGAATTTTGGGGTCAGCAGGTGGCATAGAGGTTAAGGGTGCTGAACTCCCACATGATCGACCACAGTTCAAGTCCCAGACCTGGTGGCTTGCTTTCTCACTCTCTCTCTCTCACTCTGTCCTTCTCTGGGCAAATTAAAATAAATAAATAAATAAAGTTAAATAAATAATTCTTAAAAAAAGAAAATTTTAAGTATTTTGATACTTTTTTTAGAGAGATTTTTGCTATAGGGCGTATGTGGTTGCTGGAGAGACAGAGAGACAGGAGACAGGAAGTGAGAAATCACCCCCCCCACTCCAGCTCCTCAGGGTGGGTGGCCACTCCACAATCCCTTCTTCTTTATTCTCTTTTCAGGATTTTGGGCATGCATGCACATGCATCTGGCATGAGTTTTAAGCCTCTGGCTGGGTCTGGGGCTGGAACCATGGTCAACTATGTGTGAGTCCAGCATGTAATCATTACACCATCTGCTGGTCTGCTTCTAAATGTTCCCCCAAATGGTCAGTCCTCTCAATGATTATTTTTCATTGTCAGAGAGTGAATGCACTTGCCACAGAGAGGTGGAGAGACAGAGGAAGAGAGAAGGAAGGGGGGAGAGAGAGAGAGAGAGCGAGCAAAGCACCCTCTAATGGAGTGTGGTCATACTGCTGTCCCTCCTGCATTCTTCCATCCTGCTGAGATTTGGAGCAGCGATGCATATAGCTGGTATGGTATTCCAGCTGTTAGGGCCAGGACTGGAACAGTGATTGGCCAAGTGAGATCTGGTTTCCTTAACCATTAGGCTATAGGGTGTCTCCCCCTACCCTTGATTATTAAGATAGTGCAGGGATCAGCAGGTGGTATGGGGATTAAGGTGCTGGACTCCCACATGGTTGATCGCAGTTTGAGTCCCAGATCTGGTAGCTTGAAACAAATGCTGAGCTCATGTGCGTGCATGCTCAGAATTTCAGGAGAATGGAGGAGAGGAGATTGCAGTGTGGCCATCCCCTCTGGGAGTGTGATTTGTCACTTTCCCTCTCTCAGTCTCTCTCTGGCATGTGTACACACCCTATGGCAAAACAAAACAAAAACAAAAAACAAAAAACAAAACCAAAAAACTAAAACGAAACAGAAAAACAAAGAAAAACCCCCAAAACAAAAAAAAAAAACTTAAAAAAACTTAAAAAAAATAGTACAGTTTCTACCTGCAGGGTCAATTTTACAATCCTGCACTGTGCAAAGGGAAGGCTGCCCACACTCCTGACGGACGCCCTTCAGTTTCTCTTTTTATAGATCCATCATATGCAAATGTATTCAATTCAGAAGCAGCAGTTTTAACACTTCTCTTATTTCTGTCAAGGTGCCCCTTTAGTTTTTAATCAAACCAATTATTGGTCAAGTTTGAATGTACAATTTTCAAAATTGTCTTTAAAAGTGATAATAAAAGAAACAATATGCTAATGCCAGTAAGCTGAGCTGTAGTTCGCTTCTACGCCGGAGCACATACAGGGTACTTACTTTTTCAAGCCAATAAAGAGACGTCTGAAATGTTGAAGCTCCAAAGTTTTCTCCTGAAGATGGTGAAGGGTACGGGTGTGGCAAATTTAATCCCAGATAAAGAACAAACGGTTCGGTGAAATTAACTGCTTCCTTTCTTAACCAGTTTATTGCGCTGTCTGTATTCTTCCAGTCCTTTTCCATCACTCTCACTTTAGTCTTACTAGGGAGAAGTTTAACCATTGGCCTCCCTTCCTGTCTGAGTAAGAATGCAACATCTCTTGTCCAGGCTTCCACACGATTACTGAGGGAACAAAAAGACAAGCATATGGTAAGATATAAAGGGGCCAGCAGCTAGCATGGTGGTTAGGGTGTGGACTTCCATATGGTCGACCATGGTTTGAGCTCCAGATCTGGTGGCTTGCTTTCTCATTTTCTTCCTCTCTCTCTCTCTGGTGAGCACACATACCCTATAGCAAATTGAATAATGATAATAATAAATAAAATTAAATAAGTAATTCTTTTAAAAAAATTTTAAAAACTGACTAAACATATGCATAAAAAAGCAACATGGAAAACTCGATAATGTCAATGCTCAGAATAACTATATTTAGATCTCAATCAGAAGTTATTGAGCAAAAGAGATTATATGTATATTATATACATCATGATGAGGGCTTTAGGTAAAACGTGGAATTAATCTGGAAAAAGATAAAATAAAAAAAGAAGTTATTGAGTATTATAAATTCAAAAATCAGGACAAAGTAACAATTTAAGCTGGAGAAACAGTTCTACAGTAGAACTGACAATATTTGGTCATTGATTAGAAGGCAAAGCAGGGAGTGGGGTGACAGGATCACTTTGTTTCCAGTACTGCTCTCTCTTAGATTTCGGAAGACAGAAAAGGAAAGATTAAATATTAACCAGAAGAACAAGTTTACTGCCCAGATTATTCTATTGTACATTATTCTACTACAGTATCTGCATACCCCCAACTCACTGTATTCGTTTCCTGACGGCTAGACAAATGATCACACACTGAGTACCTTAGAACAAGAGACGTGAATCCTTTCTCAGGTCTGGGAGCTAGAGGTCTAAGTCAAGGTGTCAGAGGGTCACATGCTCCCTGATGGCTCTAGGAAGAACTCATCCTCCTCTGGTTCTCCTCCCGTTACTGGGCTTGCAGCTGCATCACTCTAGTCTCTGCCTCTGTCTTCACATCATCTTCTATGCGTCTATGTCCTTTCTCCTCTTCCAACAAAGATGGCAGCCATTTGATTGAGGATGATTTCACCTTGGGATCCTTAAAAAATCACATCTGGAAATATTGGGTCACTGGAAAAGTCGTGATGTATTTTTGCACAGAAAAACAGAAAAATACGCCATGACTTTTCTGACAACCCAATAGACTCTTATTTCTAAAGAAGGCTGCATTCTGAAGTTCTAGGTGGTTATGTGGTTTGGGGAACACTGTTTGACTCACTGTACTCAGCATTCTTTTTGCTAAATGTGCTTTCTCTTGTCCTTACTTACTATCATTGGTATCACCATCTCTACTGTTACCAAGAACCCTCAGTTAGCACTTGCTAGGCGAGAGGTACTGCTCTATTGTCTTACTATGCATTTGTGGGTCCCCAGTGCTGGGAGACCACAAGATCACATCTGTGTTTAGTAGGAGGAAGCACAAGACTCAGAATATAGTTGCGTCCGTGGCTATCATTTATGATATAAAAGGATACCCAGCAAAATCAGAAAAAGGAAAAGGTGTTTAGGACAAAGTCCAGAGGAAACCAGGCACATGCTTCCAAGAGGAGTCACAATCTACACAATCTTTTGGCCTTGCATTGTAACAACACATGTGAAGTTTTGTTTGTAAGGATTGGAGATTCTGTATCGAGTTCTTATTGGGGGCTAATCACATAGGCATTCCCTGTTTGGCAAATATCAAAAGCCCAGACTGCTGAAAAGAAAGTATGGATTTGGCACAAAAGCATTGTACAGATACTCCAGACACAAAGCAAGCTACTCGTATCAGTTAGGGAATAGTGAAAACACGTCTGAAACCCAAGTTCCCAGATGCCAGTGAAGTGTCAACCTTCTCAGGAGGTTGTTTTAAAGACAACAGTCTCAAGTCTCCTATGTTAGCACTTTCCTGCACATATTATTTCATCTAAGCCATGAAATAGAGAAATTAAAGTTCAGTTAGCTTAGATAATGTGTCCAGTATTATACCACTACAGGTTGGTGGTAAACAGAGAAGCTAGAATTCCAAAGTAGGCAATCTGATTCTAGGCCTTTAGTCTTCACCACTATGCTTGGCTGCTTGGTTTTAAGGACTTAGTTACATGGAAAAAAAAAAAGTTACAATAGACTAAATTTGAAGAAAACTGATGAAGATAAACAGCAAGTAATCTATTCTTCAAAATCCAGATTAGAAGATAAATCATAAAGTGGCCACGATTTAACAGATACTCAATCAAAATAAATCATAGAGTTAACAACATCACAAACTCTATTTATACACCTTCAGTGTTTAAGTAAAACAAAATGAGCACCATATTAGCAATTTTAATATTTTAAGAAGATTAAAAAAGCTAAAGTCTTAGTCAAATTAACATAATCAAGGGATTAAGAGATTTACTTTGACCTCTGTGGAGACATAAAAAAATAAAAGTCAAAAAGAGAAATGTATTCATGTTGGAATATTCGCTTACAAGCTAACTCACATATGCAATTACATGTATTAAAGACATTAAAATAAAAATATATATAAAAAAAGAATTGGTGTGATCAAAACAACAACAACAACTGCAAAGAGTACATGTACATTAACAACTGCAAAGAGTACATGTACATCCCTTAGCAGAGGGCAGTCTATTAGGATTGTTTTTGTTTTAGTTTTTACCTAATGGAGTGGTGTCCTGAAGTGTAGTCGAGTTTTCCAAATTTTTGTGTTCGGTAGCCATGCTTCTCCATGACATCCATCCATGTTGTATAATTTGGATCTAGACCCTTAAAGTTATTCCACGATTCTGTTAAGTGTGTGAAGAGGCCACTCCATATTGCTGGAGGAAAAATGGGGTTAAAGTAAAGCTTAGCAATTTCTTTGAACTATTGAGACCCCTACTCTTTTTTTTTTTTTTTTTTTTTTTTTTTTGTTTTTTTTTTTTAGGGGGGTGC